ACTAAAGGCCTGTTATCCTCCTGCAGCAGAGTGTCGCAGTGAACTTGTTGCAGATATAGTTCTTGTTGGTTTAATGAATAACTAAGGCAGACATCCAAAAATACTAAATACCAGGAACCAATAAAACAGAAAGCATCAGGTAAAACTCACGTGGGAGGCCAGGGACGAAGAAGCAACTAACCAGCACTGAGTGACTGCGGAGGTGGTGTATATAAAGGGAACAGATGGGTTAATGAGCGGCATATGGATCAGGTGTGAGTGGAACTAACTAGAAGGAAGCCAAGGGGAAAGGAAGCAAACACAAGAGAGTAACTAAAGACTACTTGAATATAATGGAGCCCTAAAAAACCAAAGATCAACAACACAGAATAACTGAAAACTAAAAACTCAGAGACCCAAAAGGGGAGAACCATGACGCCGTAAACCTCTCTGTGACATAACATACGGAAGAAGGTTCAAGTCCGCAGGTCAGAAGACTGCTAAATCTGGAGAGTACTTGCATGTTGTAAAGGAAACATGCAAAGTGAGAGGACGTTGCTGATGAAGATTCTCAGTCATCCAGGTCATAGTCATTCCGTAAAAGTTCAACAATAATCTACTGGACTTGGTTTCCAAGATTTGAAGACGTTTCTCCACCTCTCCAGGAAGCTTTCTCTATTCAAATGACATTCATATTTAAATTGAGAAAGCTTCCTTTCTTATAACCTGACAACAGCCAGATGCATGTCTCGCTCCGCCCAGCTCCACTCACATACATCTGGGAACCCGCTCATTGAAAGTGATTTCCCCAACCGAATTTATGGTCTGTCCAATCAGGACGCAGGGCGGGTGTGTCCTGGAGTGGAGAAGCGACCGTGAGATTCCAACAACAATGGCGGCTCGCATTGAGGAAGCAAGCGTTAGCATTGATGCTGCTATTTCTTCTGTGTTGTCCAATCTATCTGATATTGTTTCATTAAAAGAACATCAGAGAGCGGCTTTGAAGGCTTTTGTTGGTGGAAACGATGTTTTCGCCCTTCTCCCGACCGGATTTGGCAAGAGCTTGATCTACCAAATGGCTCCTCCTCTCACAGCGTCACGGGTTAGCTTCGGTGTGAGTGGTTGAAATAGCACGTCAATAAAGATGACAGACAAGTGGCTTATCCAATCACATGCAAGGAGTTTTGATAAGGCCCAGCCTTCAGTAAAGGCAATTCCTATGGCGGGTTCCCAGATGTATGTGAGTGGAGCTAGGCGGAGTGAGACATGCATCTGGCTGTTGTCAGGTTACCTTTCTTATACCTCTTCCAAAATACTTAGGTTATCCTGAGCTATCTCTATAGTTCTGCTGCTATAGGCTTAGACTGCCGGAGGACATAGGGACCCCTTTTTCATCATTCTGCTTCATTCTATCTCTATTCTCCCACTCTGCAGAATCTGTTAGTTCAATCTCTAACGTTCTGCTCTCTCTGCTTTTTCTCATAGTAGCTTCATCTGGTCTGTTCCTGTTTGGCTGTGACTCCATCCTGGAGAGAAATATCAGCTGTGCTGCTGCCATCAACACCTTTGTTTCTAGATGTTGGAGCTTGGCCTGTTTTCCAGTGTAGTCCTGTTTCTCTGACTGTGACTAACTGGATGTGCTCTCTTCATCCTCTGACATGGGAGCTGGCTCGGAGCTCGTCTGCCTGGCTGTGTGTTTCCTGGACGGGGCCGCCTGTGGAGCTGGTTGACAGTTGCCTTTTGTATCTATGCTTCTTTTTCTATGTCTGCTTCTGTCTCCTTGAACCCCAGTGGGCCTCAGCAGATGGCCGCTCACACTGAGCCTGATTCTGCTGGAGGTTTCTTCCTGTTCAAAGGGAGTTTTTCCTCTCCACTGTCGCTACAAGCATGCTTAGTGTGAGGGATTGCTGAAGAGTCAATGAGTCGATGCAATCAGCTGGTTTTCCTTAGATAGAAAACTTTGAATCAATCTGACTGGATGATCTGGTGAGCTGGAAAGTGACCTGAGATGACATGATGTGAATTGGTGCTATAGAAATAAACTGAATTTAATCCCTGGTTTTGTGATTTAACTGCTAAAAAATCAGAACTGCAACTAGAAATACTTTTGTTTTCACACATACACAGTAGAATGTAAATTATTTTGACGGTTCTACCTGAAGATAAGTTTTTTCTTCAGCATAAGTTCTGAACCTCACTTTTTTTTACCCCTTTTCCCACATAGACTAGTTAATTCAAACAAAGGTATAGGATTTCTATAAAACAGATCTTAAATGAGGCAAGGATGCAAAAATAGACATGAGAAAATCTAGAAATTAATACTTCTAACTGGATCAAAATGATGCAAGAAAAAAAATGAAAATAAAGGCATTTTAGAAAAAAAGGTATTCAGAAATTTTATTGCATATTTTACTTTGAGATTTTTAAGGTTTTTATTGTTTTTATCACAGAGAATAATAAAAAATATTAATTCAAAACTTTTTAAGTTGTGACTACTTTCCATTTACAGTAGTGATTATTTAGAAACCAAAAGGACTAACTTAGACTTTGAATGTAGAATGTATTAAAAACGTGAAATGTTATCTACATTGATGACCAATTATGTGACGTTAGTCCAGAAGATAGACACAGGAAATACAGGCGATGCTTTCTATTTTTAAAGGAAAAGTCGCTCATATTCAGAATTCAAACTTCTGAAAGTTCTTTAAATCTGAAATGATTCCATCCTGTTCAATAAATGATCAGTGTTTTTAATTCAGAGTAATTTTCATGTGAATGTGCTTTACTGGAGGCATCCATGTTTGTCAAAGAACACTACTGCCACCTACTGGTTAGTGACGTCACGGTGCGGTATCGGCTGTTGATCAAGTCCCAGTGCTGTATCTGGTGTTTGTCACAACGCGCTATTATCCAAGTCATCTTGAAAACATTCTTCTTCCAAATGTTGGCTACATATTACGGGTTTTTTCTCTGGCCAGAAGTTCGATGGCAAATCCTCCCTCTTCAAGTTGGCGATCCAACGACCAACCCGTCCGTGGAGGATCAGGAATCAGAAAGGTGGAATAACTCTTTTTTTCACTTTTCCCCGATGTATTCCAGCATCCAGCTGCCATGCATGTGGGCATTGTCAGGTTCACTATAGCTCTGGTGAATTTCAATGGTGAAGTCCTCTGGAAATCTCACGTGAATGAACCTTTCTAAGCTCATAAAGCTCAGAGGAAACAGTGCATTTCCTGCACAATAAGATGGCTATGTTTGTGTTGCTGCAGAAACGTTTGATCAGGACTGTAAACGTGCTTCAGGTCACCAGCTTTCAGCGCAGCCACTGAGCTGCCGTTGCATCATAACACGTTTCAAACTCTGTGTTTCTGCAAACACTGTTGGTTTGGTCTCAGATAAACACAGTTGGACATGTTTGGGTGGACGACCCCAGACACGTGTCCTCTGTTTGTTTGCTTTACTAACTGATCGCTGCTCACAGACCGCCTCTTTTTCTAACTCTTTGTCTGACGGTAAACTCAGGACAACTTTTCAACCGCTGTTTTAGACTTTACTAGAAAACAAAAAGACGTTGGATTGAGGGGAAGCTCTGAATTATTGTGGAACCGTAGTTTTGGGAGGTCTGGGCCCAATGGTGGGACCTTGGACCAGATCTTTGCACTCAGACTGACTGACTGGGTCAAACAGGTTCACTGGTCACGTGTGCATGTTTTCACCATTAGGGGTGGTGTTCAGCGGTGACGGGGGGATCTAAAGTAGGCATCAAGCTACTTTTTGAGGTGGTGTCTTGGTCAGGATTGACGAAGGACTGAGCTTGAGACGGACGGACGCAGTGGGGAGGGGGTTATTTTGGTGCCTCATGGTGAAAAAGGAGCCCAGCTAAGGGAGAAGAACTCTAAAAAGTGAACTATGGCGTTTAGAAAACAGAATTTAGAAAAACGAACTGAACGCAGTCTTTTCACCTAAAATAAGAAAAGGGTACTTTAACTTATTTGAAGTGCCGTTCTGTATAGAATGATTTTATTCTAGGGCCGAATTACTTAGACTTAGATTTATTTTGTTTTGTAAACAAAACATATTTTCGTTTAAAACAGCTCTATACAATTTAATTTTTTAAAGCGGAGCCTTGAAAACAGTAATAAATACATAAAAACATAGTAATATAAACATGTGATTGTATATTTACAGTTCTATATAAAGAAAATAACCCATTTTACACAACATTCAGCAGTCTGATGGTTCCAGAACCCTTTGGACCAGTGAGGTGGTGTTTCCAGTCCAGGTGAGGGTGTCTGGTGACACTTCTGATGGTTGATGGTCTTCTCCACCTTCAGGATCAGGCTCAGATATTTTACTTACCTGCTCAAATGTAGGATTAATATACTTATTTTAATAGATATTTTCATTTCCATTTTTAAAATATACTCTAACGCTTATGATCATTGGATAATGCTGATGAAGATTCTCAGTCATCCAGGTTATAGTCATGCCGAAAAAGTAAACAAAAAAAACACCTTTGTTTCTAGATGTTGGAGCTTGGCCTGTTTTCCAGTGTAGTCCTGTTTCTCTGACTGTGACTAACTGGATGTGCTCTCTTCATCCTCTGACATGGGAGCTGGCTCGGAGCTCGTCTGCCTGGCTGTGTGTTTCCTGGACGGGGGCCGCCTGTGGAGCTGGTTGACAGTTGCCTTTTGTATCTATGCTTCTTTTTCTATGTCTGCTTCTGTCTCCTTGAACCCCAGTGGGCCTCAGCAGATGGCCGCTCACACTGAGCCTGGTTCTGCTGGAGGTTTTCTTCTCCACTGTCGCTACAAGCATGCTTAGTGTGAGGGATTGCTGAAGAGTCAATGAGTCGATGCAATCAGCTGGTTTTCCTTAGATAGAAAACTTTGAATCAATCTGACTGGATGATCTGGTGAACTGGAAAGTGAGATAAGATGACATGACGTGAATTGATATATGAATTATTGAAATAAACTGAAATGAATTAAATATTTGTTAAATAAACTCCAGCATATCTGCTTATGTCAGGTGTTGATTTAACTGGATATGAGGAAAACAATTTACCTATTAAAATCATGGGAAAAAATAGCAGAAACAATAGGGAATAAAGATGTTCCCCTTTTATATATAGGCAAAGGGGAACAGGTCACATTTCAACCCAGTTTCATGTGTCAGAAAAGGTTTTGCTGTTCCTGTAATCTGAGGAACTCCACGCTTCATCACGTTTCCACTGAAAACAAATATTTCTACATCCAGGCTGCACATTTTTTAAAAAAAGACAAAGATTTACAATCCAAATACGGCAGGGTAAATTATTATTGATCAAAGGTTTGAACACAAACACACACTCTTACACACCACCCAGTCCTGCCCTCTGATTGGCCGGCTCATGTGAGGTGAAACACTCCTGCTTGCAGGTGAATGAGCTGCAGGATCGGCTCACCTTACAATTTGACTGCAGGAACGGAGCGAGAAGGAGCTGAGCGTCTTCAGAGGTGATGACAGAACAGCGTGTGGATCAGCAGGCGTCTCAGGAGGATGTCAGGAGGACTGAAAGGGCAGCTGCAGAGCATGAAGCCAGAGACTATCAGTGAGTTTTGGAGAGTAAACACTGAGTCTGCTCTGGACTGCAGGCAGCGGGTCAGAGATATGTTAATATGACTCCGTCTCTGGAAAAATCCAGACATTATAAAGTCTGAGGCTCTTTAAAGGTTTCCCGCAAACGTAGTGGAAAATTTTAAAAGACAAAACATTCAACTGTTTGATGATGCAGCAAGACAGGCGTGTCATAAATGATTGTTTACCAGCTGAAAAATAGATTTACACTGGATGAAAACCTGGGATAAAAATAGTTAGGAAAGTAATATGTTTTACAAATTTTGCAGCTTCAGTTCTGTGCAGAAAGTTTTCATAGTTTACATGTTTGTGTGTCTATATTTTTCACTCTACTTTTACATGAAGTTAATTCACAGTAACCAAAGGCCGGTCCTATACAGTACTAGCCATTCAAAATGTCCCCACTTTCTTTGATGGCCCCTTGGCTGGTCCTTGGCTGGCCCTTGGCTGGCCCTTTATCGGTCCTTGGGTGGTCCTTGGCCGGTTCTTGATTGGTCCTTGGCTGGCCCTTGGTCGGTTCTTGATTGGTCCTTGGCTGGACCTTGGCTGGTCCTTGGCTGGCCCTTGGCCGGTTCTTAGTTGGTTCTTGGCTGGTCCTTGGCTGGCCCTTGGCTGGTCCTTGGCTGGTCCTTGGCTCGCCCTTGGCTGGTCCTTGGCTGGCCCTTGGCCAGTTCTTAGTTGGTCCTTGATTGGTCCTTGGCTGGCCCTTGGCCGGTTCTTAGTTGTTTCTTGGCTGGTCCTTGGCTGGCCCTTGGCTGGTCCTTGGCTCGCCCTTGGCTGGTCCTTGGCTGGCCCTTGGCCAGTTCTTAGTTGGTCCTTGATTGGTCCTTGGCTGGTCCTTGGCTGTTTCTTGGTTGGTCCTTGGCTGGCCCTTGGCTGGCCCTTGGCTGGCCCTTGGCCGGTCCTTGGCTGGTCCTTGGCTGGTCCTTGGCTGGCCCTTGGCTGGTCCTTGGCTGGCCCTTGGCCAGTTCTTATTTGGTCCTTGATTGGCCCTTGGCTGGTCCTTGGCTGGTTCTTGGCTAGTTCTTATTTGGTCCTTGATTGGTCCTTGGCTGGTCCTTGGCCAGTTCTTAATTGGTCCTTGATTGGTCCTTGGCTGGTCCTTGGCCAGTTCTTATTTGGTCCTTGATTGGCCCTTGGCTGGTCCTTGGCTGGTTCTTGGCTAGTTCTTATTTAGTCCTTGATTGGTCCTTGGCTGGTCCTTGGCCAGTTCTTAATTGGTCCTTGATTGGTCCTTGGCTGGTCCTTGGCTGGTCCTTGGCCAGTTCTTAGTTGGTCCTTGGCTGGCCCTTGGCTGGCCCTTGGCCGGTCCTTGGCTGGTCCTTGGCTGGCCATTGGCTGGTCCTTGGCCAGTTCTTAGTTGGTCCTTGATAGGTCCTTGGCTGGTTCTTGGCTGGTCCTTGGCTGGTCCTTGGCTGGCCCTTGGCCAGTTCTTAGTTGGTCCTTGATTGGTCCTTGGCTGGTCCTTGGCTGGTCCTTGGCCAGTTCTTATTTGGTCCTTGATTGGTCCTTGGCTGGTCCTTGGCCAGTTCTTAGTTGGTCCTTGATTGGTCCTTGGCTGGTCCTTGGCTGGCCCTTGGCCAGTTCTTAGTTGGTCCTTGGCTGGCCCTTGGCTGGTCCTTGGCTGGCCCTTGGCTGGTCCTTGGCCAGTTCTTAGTTGGTCCTTGATAGGTCCTTGGCTGGTCCTTGGCTGGTCCTTGGCTGGCCCTTGGCCAGTTCTTAGTTGGTCCTTGGCTGGCCCTTGGCCGGTCCTTGGCTGGTCCTTGGCTGGCCCTTGGCTGGCCCTTGGCTGGTCCTTGGCCAGTTCTTAGTTGGTCCTTGATAGGTCCTTGGCTGGTCCTTGATTTTTCCTTGGCTCGTCCCCTAAAATTCCTTTTTAAACATCAATCTTTGTACTAAAATATTCTTTCTGTCATGATTTGTGGACATTAAGTTCCAAAGAGAAGCATCATCTCCTGGTCAAACCCAGTATTTCAGTGAAAGGGTGGAGTCAGAGTAAAAATATGCAAGAGGGGCTCACTGCATTGGCTGGAAGTTTGAGGGGATTTTGCTGGAAAGGGGGCTGCCATTAAGCTGGCGTTTGACCAGGAAGGACCATTTTGAATGGCTGCTACTGTAGATGGATGCAAAGTCCCATTTTCCCATTTTATCCCAGCTAAAAAAAAAACAAGCAAATTAGTGAAAATATTTTCTAAGTAAGTAAACAAACCCAGCAATTTCTCCTCCGGGACAAACAGGAAGCAACAGTGGAAAGATGATAACATAAGCCTTTATTTAAGACACAATGTTAATGCTTAGAAAGCATGAGGAGAGTAGAAAGGAAAAGAAGGAAACTCCTAGTAGAGGCACAGCATCCGCCCATGTGAAGCTGTGAAAGTTGAGTTTGCAGTAAAAACAGAGACTGACAGCAGGAGGTTGATGCTAACTGGTTTCCCCACATGAGTCATCCTCTGATTGTTTTGGACGTCTGGAGACGACAAGCAGGTAGGCAGCTGAGTCCGGTTTGGTAACAACAGTGAATGATTGAGATCCTGCCCATGTGGGCTCCTCCCGGATTTCCCCAGCCATGGAAAAAAGAGGGGGGGCAAATCATCCTCCAGGAGGAACTCCTTCCAGTAATCCAGGTGATGAGCACCTTATCACAGGTACCAGAGTTTGGATCTGTGCTAAGGAATCTCTCTGGATCAGAACCCAGTTAGGACCAAAGAACTGTGATCAACTCCAGGCCATCATGCAGGGGTGGGCAATTCCAGTTCCTGCAACTTTTAGATCCATTCTTGGTCCAACACACCTGAATCAAATGGCTGAGTTCCTCCTCAGTATGCAGTTTGTTCCTCCAGAGCCCTCTCAATCATCTAATTACTTGATTCGTGTGAGTCTAACCAAAGGCACATCTAAAAGTTGCAGAATACCGACCCTCAGGAACTGGAATTGCCTACCCCTGCTGTAACGAGAAAAGGAGGGGTCATCATTTTCCAGAAGGTCAAACCAGGCAATGCGGTGATGCATGAAGATTCAGCAGCAGACGCATTCATGCTTCACTCGAAAAGTTAGGAAACAGCAATGCTAAAACGTTCGGCTGAGTCTTCAAACTGAAAATGAAAAAAAAACAGGTAAAATGAGCTAAAATTGCTGCAAGCTACTGTGGAAAAAAGCGCATTTTTTAAAACGGTTGAGCTTAGAATCTGAGTTCTCATGTTGCAGCCATTAGACGGCGTCATGGTGGAGAATGAATTATTGATTCAGCTGTTTACTGATTGGCTGGTGGTAAACCTGGAGCCACGCCTCCAAATAACTCATAACAGCCATCTAGGGTTTAAACGAGAGGTGATCAATTAATACCAGATTGATTGGTGAGTTAAATGTAAAATAATAAAGGTTATACGGAGGAAAATCTTCATTATTATCTTTATTACTAGATCTGGTAAAGCTGAAAGGCTTGGTTGATTTATGCAGCTCTTCTTCTTATTGTTCAGCTCTGATTTGGAGGATGTGACAGAGGAGCATCAGCAGATTGACAAGATGGTGGTTGAACCTCTTCAAGGTGCAGATCAGGACCAACAGGAGCCGTCAGGCAGAAGGAAGGCGGCGTTGGTCAGGTTGGTCTGTTATATTCCAGCAGACGCTGCTCCACCGTGAACAACAGCAGGAAAACATTGTTCAGCTTTTCTGATTGGTTGATAATTATCATATTCTGATGGTTTTTCCAGGTCAAAAACTTTAGACAACTCCATGCTGACTCACGTCCAAATAGATTTACACTCCAAGATAGAGAGAAAGAAGTCGCACTACAGCCAGGTGAGTTAGCAAAGACCATCATGTTTTTATCGGCTTCTTTTAGTGGCTTACGGAATTAGGAAATTTGGGGCCCTAGGCAAAGACAGGCATGAGAAGCCATTCTCCAGATAGAGAAATGTTAATAGAATAGACATCCATGATCTGTTCTAGGTTGTGTCCCTCTCTTCTTGTCCCTTTTCTTCTTGTTTTCCTCTCTATGTTTTGTACTCAGCTGACTTTTCATGCTGTCTCTAAAGGAATGAAAGATTTTTTCCAAGCACTAAGCTCACTTAGCTGATTGCTCCTTCCTGTGTTTCCAAAAAGGCCAAAGTAAATAACCCAGTCCTTCTTTTCACTGTAGACAAGCCATGATCTGCTTATCTGTTCTCCATTTTTCATTTGGATGAAATAATAGCTGCATGAATCATGACAGCAGACAAGATAGAGGAGAGCAGGAGGCGGGGTTACCAGAGATGGGAAGTAACGAAGTACAAATACTTCGTTACTGTACTCAAGTAGATTTTTCTGATATTTTTACTTTACTTTACTACTTATTTTTATGGCGACTTTTTACTTCTACTCCTTACATTTTTACACAAATATCTGTACTTTCTACTTCTTACATTTTAAAAAATTGTCTCGTTACTTTAGTTTTGAATCATTTCAATGGAGTTACCGTTATTATTTTTCACGTCATCAATACCAAATTCAATCTAATTGGATGGGAATCTACGTTGCATTTGACGCACCACTACAAGATGAATCGACAGATTCGGCGGTATTCATTGGCGGCAAATCATTGCAGCTTGGTGGCGGTGGCGTTAGCATAGTAGCATGGACGACGAGATGATTGAAAATGAACACAACGGAGATCTAGTCCTATTGGCAGACATCCATTTAAAATGTAGGCAACGGCACGAAAAAAGTGGTTTCTACTTTTACTTTTATACTTTAAGTTAATTTACAAGCCTGTACTTTATTACTTTTAATTAAGTAAAGACGTTTAATCAGTACTTCCACTTTTACCAGAGTATTTTTTAACACAAGTATCTGTACTTTTACTCAAGTACGGAATGTGCCATCTCTGGGGGTTACCAATCTACTCGCTCTGGAGAGCAGAGTTCGCTGCTTTTAGATGTTGTCTCCAAAGTCTCCAGTAGCAGAAAAAAGTCTCTAGATTTGGCGCTAGGAGCTTTTTAGAAATCAAAGTGCTAGAGGGGTCTGAAAAGTGGCTAAATATAGCGACTAAAGCGCTAAGTTGGCAACACTGCTCTTTGCATGGTTTGTTTTCAAATGGTTTGCTTCTGTCTGTTTGGACCTTTCTGAACATGTGCAGCAAATGGACTGATCCAATATGGTGGACACTGAAGGGGGGGGGGCTGAGACACACTTTTAATGAAAGGATTTTTATCAAAAACATAATTAATGTTCACAAATAAGGAATAGTTGTATTAACTATACATTTAAAACAAGTTTTATGGGGCCCCCAGGAACTTGGGGCCCTAGGCAGCTGCCTAGTATTGCCTAATGGTAAATCCCCCCTGACTTAAACCTAACCGACCGTTAGGAAGGAGTCCCTCTGGGATTCCAGGTGCTTTAATCCACCAGATTAGGTTCCACATTCTATCTAATGAGAAAATAAATGAGCAAGAATTAAAATGCTGTCGGATTCTGAAGGAAGATTTTTCAAACATTTCCATGGATCATATATTTATTAATTCATCGGCTTCAATGTTCTTTAAAAGCAAAAACTTCTGTTATTCATCCGTTGATAACATTTAAATAAATGTATCTCTAATGGTTGAAGAAGGAATGGATGGATATTTGCTGACATCTACAGACAAAATCTATATTTAATCATTTGTTTACTTCAGTAGAGAAGATTTGGTGATTATTTGATATCAGAAAATTTAATTAATTACCAGCCTGTTTATTTTTAGTGTTAGAAAGGATTTCAATTTTGGGACAAAGAAAAACCAATTAGATGAATAAAATATGAGAAAACTCCATTATTTTGTTGAAAACAGAAATAGATTTATTACGCATAGATTGGCTGATGTCTCACAGCTTTTAATTCTGCTGTCTTCGTTGAATAAAAACATTACAAACTCTCTGTTTCTCTTCTGTTCCAGCTTTCGAAGAGCAACTGCCAGTACCATAAAATATTTAAGGAGATCAGCAAAGAGGAGCAGCTGAGACAGAGTGAGTCTGCGATGATCTCATCCATCTGCTCCGCCTTAAATACTGAGAGGAGGTTTCATTAAGAGCGTCCGATGTTTGTTAACTAACGTCAGGATGATGGGAGCTGACTGAGTTCTGTTAAAATGGGACACAGTTTTTATTCTGCTTTAAACAATGAAGGATTCTCTGGTTACCTGTCTGTCAGGTTACACCTGTGCCCTGCAGAAAGACATCCTCTACCAGGGGAGGATGTTCGTCTCTGATCACTGGATCTGCTTCCACTCCAAGGTTTTTGGCAAAGACACCAAGGTACAGCACTGAGGCAGCCTTTTATAACCGCAGGGCTTTGATGGATGGGGGGAAACACATTTAAAATAAAACCTCCTGCATCCCCTGAAATGGTCTTTCTGCAGAGACAGTCCCACTGCTGCTGCTTCTACTTATAACAGCTTTTTACTTTCTCTTAGGTGCTCTATTAACCTGATTAAAAACTCAAAGTCTAAATTAAAGCTAACCTCCAAAAGAAGGTTTCTCTGATCAGTCCCAAATACTTTATGTACAAAATATGTCTCAAAGTATGCTTCCAAAACTCTGCAGCAAAAAATTTCAGCTCAAAAATGTAGTATTAGGGTCAGAATAGAGATGTTTATTATTATTATCATTTCTTCTATCTCGAGAATAAAGTCGCAATAGAATAGCCATGAAATTACGAGAATGAAGTTGTTAAATTATGAGAATAAAGTTATAAAATTACAAGAATAAAGTTGTTAAATTATGAGAATAAAGTCATGAAATTACGAGAATGAAGTCGTAATAGTAAGAGAATAAACTCATAAAATTATGAGAATAAAGTCGTAATAGTAAGAGAATAAAGTCATAAAATTACGAGAATAAAGTCGTAATAGTAAGGGAATAAAGTCGTAAAATTACGAGAATAAAGTCGTAATAGTAAGAAAATAAAGTCATAAAATTACGAGAATAAAGTCGTAATAGTAAGAGAATAAAGTCGTAAAATTACGAGAATAAAGTCGTAATAGTAAGAAAATAAAGTCATAAAATTACGAGAATAAAGTCGTAATAGTAAGAAAATAAAGTCATAAAATTATGAGAATAAAGTCGTAATAGTAAGAGAATAAAGTCATAAAATTACGAGAATAAAGTCGTAATAGTAAGAAAATAAAGTCGTAAAATTACGAGAATAAAGTCGTAATAGTAAGAAAATAAAGTCATAAAATTACGAGAATAAAGTCGTAATAGTAAGAAAATAAAGTCATAAAATTACGAGAATAAAGTCGTAATAGTAAGAAAATAGTCATAAAATTACGAGAATAAAGTCGTAATAGTAAGAGAATAAAGTCGTAAAATTACGAGAATAAAGTCGTAATAGTAAGAAAATAAAGTCATAAAATTACGAGAATAAAGTCGTAATAGTAAGAGAATAAAGTCATAAAATTATGAGAATAAAGTCGTAATAGTAAGAGAATAAAGTCATAAAATTACGAGAATAAAGTCGTAATAGTAAGAAAATAAAGTCGTAAAATTACGAGAATAAAGTCGTAATAGTAAGAAAATAAAGTCATAAAATTATGAGAATAAAGTCGTAATAGTAAGAGAATAAACTCGTAAAATTATGAGAATAAAGTCGTAATAGTAAGAAAATAAAGTCATAAAATTACGAGAATAAAGTCGTAATAGTAAGAGAATAAAGTCGTAAAATTACGAGAATAAAGTCGTAATAGTAAGAAAATAAAGTCATAAAATTACGAGAATAAAGTCGTAATAGTAAGAAAATAAAGTCATAAAATTACGAGAATAAAGTCGTAATAGTAAGAAAATAAAGTCATAAAATTATGAGAATAAAGTCGTAATAGTAAGAGAATAAACTCGTAAAATTATGAGAATAAAGTCGTAATAGTAAGAAAATAAAGTCATAAAATTACGAGAATAAAGTCGTAATAGTAAGAGAATAAAGTCATAAAATTATGAGAATAAAGTCGTAATAGTAAGAGAATAAAGTCATAAAATTACGAGAATAAAGTCGTAATAGTAAGAAAATAAAGTCGTAAAATTACGAGAATAAAGTCGTAATAGTAAGAAAATAAAGTCATAAAATTATGAGAATAAAGTCGTAATAGTAAGAGAATAAAGTCATAAAATTACGAGAATAAAGTCGTAATAGTAAGAAAATAGTCATAAAATTACGAGAATAAAGTCGTAATAGTAAGAGAATAAAGTCGTAAAATTACGAGAATAAAGTCGTAATAGTAAGAAAATAAAGTCATAAAATTACGAGAATAAAGTCGTAATAGTAAGAGAATAAAGTCATAAAATTATGAGAATAAAGTCGTAATAGTAAGAGAATAAAGTCATAAAATTACGAGAATAAAGTCGTAATAGTAAGAAAATAAAGTCGTAAAATTACGAGAATAAAGTCGTAATAGTAAGAAAATAAAGTCATAAAATTATGAGAATAAAGTCGTAATAGTAAGAGAATAAACTCGTAAAATTATGAGAATAAAGTCGTAATAGTAAGAAAATAAAGTCATAAAATTACGAGAATAAAGTCGTAATAGTAAGAGAATAAAGTCGTAAAATTACGAGAATAAAGTCGTAATAGTAAGAAAATAAAGTCATAAAATTACGAGAATAAAGTCGTAATAGTAAGAAAATAAAGTCATAAAATTACGAGAATAAAGTCGTAATAGTAAGAAAATAAAGTCATAAAATTATGAGAATAAAGTCGTAATAGTAAGAGAATAAACTCGTAAAATTATGAGAATAAAGTCGTAATAGTAAGAAAATAAAGTCATAAAATTACGAGAATAAAGTCGTAATAGTAAGAGAATAAAGTCGTAAAATTACGAGAATAAAGTCGTAATAGTAAGAAAATAAAGTCATAAAATTACGAGAATAAAGTCGTAATAGTAAGAGAATACACTCGTAAAATTATGAGAATAAAGTCGTAATAGTAAGAAAATAAAGTCATAAAATTATGAGAATAAAGTCGTAATAGTAAGAGAATAAACTCGTAAAATTATGAGAATAAAGTCGTAATAGTAAGAAAATAAAGTCATAAAATTATGAGAATAAAGTCGTAATAGTAAGAGAATAAACTCGTAAAATTATGAGAATAAAGTGCCCAGCAGCCCAACAAAGCCTGGTTTTAGTTTAGAAAACATGCAAATAGAAATGGATGAACGGGTCCCCCCCTTTGGAACGGGGGTCCTTTGGCTTCTTCTGTTAGCCTGCAATGCCCCATATAGTCTCTGATAGGGGGGTCGTTAAAGGGAATTGTTGGCCTGGCTGAATAGGTGAGGTCTTCTGGGGTTGCAATGATAGTGTGAAGGAATCAATTTAATCGCTGAATTGTAGGTTTTTGACAGCAGAAATCTGAGTCCAATATAAATACTGTTTAAGGTTGTTTTTTCTTTCTTATCATAGATGCCTCCTTCCTCTCAAACCACCTGTCTTCTTTGTCCAAAATGTGAGCATTCTGGTCCTCCAAAGAATGTCCTTTGTCCATCAGGTGTAGATGTAACGCAGAGTGTTGTCCAGAGGAGGGCGCTCTTCTGTGTTGGGCCATGCGTCTGTGGAGAGGTTGTTTGGTTTCTCCAAAATAATGATCAGAATATTCCTCGCTGCATTGACCTGCAGACTCCACTCTGCTCAGATTAGGTCTTTAGGATGAACTAGTCTCTGTTTCAGGGTCTGTTTTTAATGTTGACAAAGTGAAACTTCCTAAGAGGCATTAAACAGTGAGATGAGTAAAGATGGAAGGTTTGGTGTTTAACTTGGACTGCCTCTTGTTGATTTCAGATTGCCATCCCTGTGACTTCTATCACCAGCATTAAGAAGACCAAGACTGCCATCCTGTTGCCAAACGCTCTGGTGATCGCTACCGGCAGTGACAGAGTGAGACATCAAAGATAACTGATTGATGTTGATCAAAGACTAGAAACCTCCTAAAGACGATTTCCCTTTTTTTGTCGTCACAGTACGTGTTTGTGTCCTTCCTGTCCAGAGACAACACCTACAAGTTCCTGACATCGGTTTGTCTCCACCTAGAGGTAAGACGGAGTAATCGACGTCAACCAGGTCAGGCAGAGAAAACAGGTCTTTTTTTCCCCCCAGCATTTTATTGTCATTCCACTATTATTATTTATTATCCTCAGCCACCAGCAGAGGGAGCCAGTGCTCTTTAGAAGGGGCTCAGCCTGGCATAGAGGGCCATGTCACTCAGCAGCAATATAGACCCTCTGTGTTCAGGCAGATCATTGCCACTCAGGCAGAGTTTCCAACAAGTACAGACTGATATGCCTTATGACCTTTAAAGGAGCGTTCTTTTCATTATAAAACACGTCCTGAAGGAAGAAACTACATCCCTTATAGACAACGAAGAATTTAGCGTTCATTAGAGCTTCTATTCAAGCTATGTTCTCGTTCCAAAGAGAGACGCTGTATCACTGGGGTCCATAGTGGGCCTGCATGAGTCAAACAGACAGTTCCACACGTATGCATCCAGAATGCTAACACACAAGGTTCTGTACCGTTCCATCTGTCCAGGAGATTGGTTCATAGCTGTCCATCTATCAGTATTTATGTCCCTCGCTGAAAGTTTCTCAGGTTTCCTCATCAAGGCAAAGCCGGAAGTTCCACCTGTCCTCAGAATATTTAGGCAAATAGGCAACTAATTAACTTAGTCCTGATTTTTGCAACTAATCGTGCAACCATGAGTTCAGTATACAATGGATCAGAGACGTCTGGTTCTCAGAGGACAGGATTCTGTCCTACGCTTGATTCTTGGCACAGTTTTGATTTGTTTTAATTATGACTTTGTTTGCTCCTTAGCCTTGTGGTGTTGGACCTCCCTGTTTTCCTTCTGGGGCTACTGATGATGAGGTGTTTTCATCAGGGGGTCACATATTTGCGTCTCTGTCCCGGCCATCATCTGTCCCGCAGGCTGAGAGTGTCCCTGACATGTCACTCTCAGCCTGTGGGACAGGCTATCAATGATGCTATCAATAGGAATGATAGCATCCAGTCTTTCCCTGACTGTGAACCTGAAAGGTATTATTTGTTTACAGTGGGCCCCTGGGCCCAAAATGCTGGAGTCGTCACGCAGATGTTTGACGGTGGTGCTGCTAGTATTTCCTCCGCCACCATTCAGTTACACAGAGGAGCAGAGGCTAATCGCTAATGTCCGTTGAAGGCTCCATGGGGACAGGCAGCTTGTTTTCAAAGAGCTGACCATCTGTGTGTTTGGGCCTCTGTTCATAAGGGCCAACCTGTCTCTCTCCAAACATCAGTGGACTGGATTGCTCAGGCTAAATCTATGGCATATAGATGTGCAGGCCTACAGCCTCCTATCTGTGTGTGGATTGTTCCAGGGTGTCTGTTCAACTTGTCTGCCTCAGACAGATGAGATGACTGTTAGACCCTTTTACCACTGGCTGAAAAACACGTTTAAATCTAACACCAATGGGCTTTTAGTGGCAGTGGGAACAGCTCACTGATGCATGTCTACCGGCAGCGACCCTCGTTAAAATCAGCTCAGCTCTGATCGGCATGGTGTGGGAACACCATAGCCGGGTCGACGCGCTAATTTTCGTGATACCATTAAACACAACATACGGATGTCAGCACACCACACCCGTCGCTTCTGCTCTAACAAGCAGAAAAAACTCTGTTTTCATTCTATAAACATGGAGCAGATAATAGAGATAAACTATAAAGCACACTGACTACGCCCTGGCTTCCTTCCACGTTGCTCTCCATTGTTTACTCTCCTGATTCCTGTCGCATTGATGACATCATCAATGTAGCCTTGTGAGACCATCCTGATCTCGCGAGCTTTCAAGGTTTCCCTCGCAGATCAGTCTGGAGACTCTCCGTTAAAGAAAATTTGGAGCCGTTCACCAAACGAACGTCCAATCAGCGTTGGCTTTGAGGCGGGTTGAGGTGTGACGCAACGAGAAGCGTGACAGTTCAGTCTAAAGAACATGGCGGCTTCAGCCGATGAAACTAGCGTTAGCGTGGCTATCGAGCAAGTTTTAATTACAGAGTATTTCTTCACTGAAAGAAGAGCAAAACACTGCTCTGGAGGCTTTTCTCAGAGGAAAAGATGTTTTTGCTCTTCTACCGACTGGTTTTGGCAAGAGTAGCCTGGCTTGTGGTTGTGTTTTTGTCGTCGCTCTGTTACGTCATATGCTTCGTTGATCTGATTGGTTTATTTGGCCCGTCTATCACCAACATAGGCCAATCAGCTAACCAGTGTTTTCGCCCCTTCCCAAAATTACTGCAATGGAAGGTTTCCAGATGGATATGCAGAGCTAATCCATCTGGCGGAGTCAGGTTATCATCAATGCTAACCCAGCGTAATGATGTCACCAGACACGCAGCTGTGGGGGGAAAGAGGCAACGCAGCTGACAGCGAGGATCTAGACCAGCTTTTAAACCCAATGGGAACAGAGACAAATGCTGATTGTTAGCGAGTCGAATTATGTTTGAAAAAACACACGTTAACCTGCTATTTTCAATGGGAAATATGCTTTAGTCACAGACATTATTCTCACGGTGAAACACTTCTGTCTGTTATCAAAGGGTTGTATTATTTAGGTTTTTTCTCTATGTATGGTAACTTTTCTACATTTCATATTTAAATGCCTTTTTGTCTTGTATTGCAGTCGTTTTCCTTTATATTCATATATATTCATATTTTCTTTATATTTCCCTCTGTGTGGTTTTGTAATTACTGGTTGAAAGTGAATGCATGTACGTTAAACAGAGGCGTTTTATTCCCTTCTACAAATGTTAAAGAGGTCTGAGTCAGAAACTGTGCCGTTTGACCTCCAGAGCCTGCAGCTTCTGCTTGTCTGTTATGTTGATGTGCACAGGAGAGGAGTCCAAGCAGCAGCCCTATTCCTTCCTCAGCTGAACACAGCTTCAGAGGTCAGAGGTCGCCGCTGTTGCCTCGCTTCCCTATGGTGGGTTCATGGTCACAAACAACATCCATTTGCACCCTGACCTGTGACGGTCACACAGGGAATCATTAGCGAGTTTATTAGTGTTTGCTGTTAGTTGGATGAATAAACAGTGACGTCAGCAGTTCTCCATCCAGATGGCTACAAAGATCAACCCGTTATATGGCTGCAAGGTTCATCAGACTGCTGCTCTTAAAGGAGAAGTCTGCTTATATTCAGAATTCAAACTTCTGAAAGTTCTTTAAATATGAAATTTATTCCATCCTGTTCAATAAATGATCAGTGTTTTTAATTCAGAGTAATTTTCATGTGAATGTGCTTTACTGGAGGCATCCATGTTTATCAAAGAACACTACTGCCACCTACTGGTTAGTGACATTGTCACGGTGCGGTATCGGCTGTTGATCAAGTCCCAGTGCTGTATCTGGTGTTTGTCACAACGCGCTATTATCCAAGTCATCTTGAAAACATTCTTCTTCCAAATGTTGGCTACATATTACGGGTTTTTTCTCTGGCCAGAAGTTCGATGGCAAATCCTCCCTCTTCAAGTTGGCGATCCAACGACCAACCCGTCCGTGGAGGATCAGGAATCAGAAAGGTGGAATAACTCTTTTTTTCACTTTTACCCGATGTATTCCAGCATCCAGCTGCCATGCACGTGGGCATTGTCAGTTTCACTATAGCTCTGGTGAATTTCAATGGTGAAGTCCTCTGGAAATCTTCAATAATTGTTGTTGATTGCAGATGTGTCTAGTAGTTCCCATTGATTTAGCTTGGAAAGCGGGGAGAATGGCGCTAGGCTTACCGCACCGTGACGTCACTGCTGGAAGATGGCAGGAGGGAGGGGCTACTAGATTTGGGCAAAAATGGCCGCTCCCAGACTCAGTGATCGCGACAAAATTTTTTGTTTTAATTTTTTACTGATTAACGCTAAATTCATTAAATCACCACAAACGTATTAGTTTTAGGTATAAATAATGATCCCTTTATTATTCCTTGATGACCGGACTTTTCCTTTAATGCAGGAAGATTGAAGCAGTCAAACATTAACTGACTAAATAAATAACTGAAATAATTTGAGATTTTGCGACACTATTGGCATTTTATTTATCAATAGCTTGAGAAGAAAAATGGCGAGGAGAGATAAGAGGAAGACGTGCAGGAAATGACCCAGATCATATGGCTCTACAGGTTCCTCTGATTAAAATACTCTGATTTAACATGCAGAGGATAGAATCGTTAGCTGTGTGATTAATCTTTCCTGCAGAGTGATTTCGTTGACTTGGATGTAGCCGTGAGACAAAGAAGGCAGGAGATGGAGGAAAACAGCAGCTCCGACTCACAGGCCCCAGACTACGACAAGATAGCTGGTATAACCTTCTGTTTCATGTTATTGGGAATTTACATGCAGAGTGTAATGTTTTAATGACAAATCCTAAATAACATACAGTAGATATCAGAGGTCAGGTGGTTTGGGTTCTGGTGTTAGCAGAGAGCATTTGACCTAAGCGTCGTTTTCTTTCTGTAGAATAGCCTCAAACCAATATTTATCAAGACTAAAAACACATTTGTTTAGGATTGCCTTCGACTGTTCTAGTTAAACAGTTCAACTAAAATATCATTAGTTCAACTTTTTTATTTTATTTTTTTTCCTACTTGCTTTGATTTTGTTTTATTTTTCTATATTTTAATCATCTAAAGCTCTTTGCATTGTCTTTGCACTGAATTGTGCTATACAAATAAATTTGCAAAAAGACCGGAAAGATGTGATATTCTGGGTGAATCACAGTGGGGCCAGGGCTCAGCCCTGAGGAACACCACTAATGATATGAGTCGCTGAAATTCCAGACAAGACAAGAGAAATTCTGTCTGTTTACAGCATAAGAGGGGAATATGATTTAAAACATACATTGTTAGGATTGTTCCCCAATAAGAAAAACTATTTCAAAAAGCATTTATTTCACATTTACGGAAGAGGATTAGGGCCACTGAAAAAAAAAAAAAAAAAAAGTTAACTGATTTTTTTTTTTTTTTATTTCAGTATAGTATGGGAAAAAAGTCAGAATTCTGACTTTAATCTCAGAATTCTGACTTTAATCTCAGAATTCTGACTTTTTTTATTGTCAGAATTCAGTCAGAATTCTGAGATTAAAGTCAGAATTCTGAGATAAAAGTCAGAATTCTGAGATTAAAGTCAGAATTCTGAGAAAAAAGTCAGAATTCTGAGAAAAAAGTCAGAATTCTGACTTTTTTTTCTCAGAATTCTGACTTTTTTATTGTCAGAATTCAGTCAGAATTCTGAGAAAAAAGTCAGAATTCTGACTTTAATCTCAGAATTCTGACTTTTTTCTCTCAGAATTCTGACTTTTTTTATTGTCAGAATTCAGTCAGAATTCTGAGATTAAAGTCAGAATTCTGAGATAAAAGTCAGAATTCTGAGATTAAAGTCAGAATTCTGAGATAAAAGTCAGAATTCTGAGATTAAAGTCAGAATTCTGAGAAAAAAGTCAGAATTCTGACTTTAATCTCAGAATTCTGACTTTTTTTATTGTCAGAATTCAGTCAGAATTCTGAGATTAAAGTCAGAATTCTGAGATTAAAGTCAGAATTCTGAGATAAAAGTCAGAATTCTGAAAAAAGTCAGAATTCTGAGATTAAAGTCAGAATTCTGAGAAAAAAGTCAGAATTCTGACTTTTTTCCCATACTATACTGAAATAAAAAAAAAAAAATCAATTAACTTTTTTTTTTATTCAGTGGCCCTAATTCCGTACACACTGCAGCTGTTTATTCAAATTATATATTTTTTAAATGTAAAAGAACAAAAAGCTGCATCTAAAACAGGCTTTAGAGATAATTATTTACTAAAAGCTTTTCCTTGCAGACCTGCCCATTCCTCATTATCTGGACGCTCTGAAACAAAGCGTGAAGACGTCTTCTCCAGAGCAGCAGCGCAAAGTGAAAAAGCAGCCTCTCACCCAGCAGAGCTCAAAGCGTTCAGGTGAGTTTCTCTGACATCATGACTCAGCTTTCAGGAACAACCTTCTTGTTTCGGATGAACTGATAAATCTGAATCTACCCTCTGATAATCTGAAAGGATTAACCACAGCTCTATGTTTGGCTTTCACGTAATTAGACACATTAGTAGAGAAGCAATTAAAACAGTTTTTCCATAATCTTCCTTCAAATTTAGACTCAGGTGTTTCCTACAAAAAAAAAAAAAATCCATCAACCATCTTAACAACCCATATTTCAAGCTTTGTTAACTCATTTTAAACGTTCCTCTCCTGTTATCACAACATTCATTGATTACAGGAACACTTTGGTAGAATAAGTGGCCATTTTCTAAGTCAGATTAAATTCATTAGTCATTTTCTCAAAGTGTTTTTGGTAAAAAATAAACAAATACCAAATTTCTGATTTCTACATGTTGCTTTTTATCAGGATATTTGTTCGTTTATTGAAATGATAAGCATGAAAAGTTTGTTTTCTTTGTTTCCAGGCTCTGAAGTGGTGATTAACAGCAGCGTGAAATCAGTTTCTCTCAACACTCTGCTGATTATCTACATGTTTCTGTAAGATTCACTCAATGATTCTTTATTAGAATTGATTACTATACAGATTATTTTTCTCTTGTCTCGTTAAATGTGCGTAGTTCTGTCAGATTACCTGATCTTCCAAGGCTGAAGTATTAATCCTCAGTTCATTTCCTCTCATTCGTGTATTAATGTGGCTTCGGTTTATCCTTCTTATTGTTCTGCTATAAAAAACAAAACAAAAAACAGAATTTGCAACTTAAACTGAAATAGTGTGAAGTAATATAAGGCAGCTTGATATTTTTAAAAATGTTGCAAATTTTGTTGAATTAAACTAATTAAACGTTTGATGAATTAAATGCAACATTCAAAGAGTCGCCAAAAACTCAGTCTTGAAGAAATGTAGAAAAACAAATAAAAAAAATAACCTCTCCTGAGAAGAATTATGGAGGATAAAAAGTGCCAAAATTAAATAAATAAATACAGCATTAAATAAATAATTAAATGTCTCAATAATTAATTAAATGTGGAATTAAATAAATAAATGTAATTCATTAATTAAAACCATGTCACTAATATAAAGTGCCACAATTAAATAAATAAATACAGCGATAAACAATTAATTAAATGTGTAATTCATTAAATAAATAAGGAATAAAATATATAAATGTGTCATTAATTTAATAAAATATGTCTTCATTTTATTAAAAAAATATATCTAATTATTTCAGTGTGCATTTAATTATTTCATGGTCCTGTGTCGCAGTGCATCGAAACCATTAAAAGAATCTGTCAAACTCACCCATCAAAGTTAGGGGGCGGGGTTAATGTGAATCGAGTCTCTGTAATCGATTTGCTTCGCCTTAATGTGCAGGGTGACCAATCAGGTGTTAGATAACTGCCCCCTAACTTTGATGGGTGAGTTTGACAGATTCTTTTAATGGTTTCGATGCACTGCGATACAGGACCATGAAATAATTAAATGCACACCAAAATAATTATTTTATTTTTTTTTAATAAAATGAAGACGTATTTTATTAAATTAATGACACATTTATATATTTAATTCCTTATTTATTTATTTAATGAATTACACATTTAATTAATTGTTTATCGCTGTATTTATTTATTTAATTTTGGCACTTTTTGTCCTCCATAGAGAATGACACAACCAGCTTTAGTTCATCAAATGACATAAATTTGTTCAGATAAACATTTCAGACAACTGTTTCCCGTTCACATCAGAAACAGGACATGAGAATCTTGAATGCAATAAGGACATGTTTATCTATGTTTCCCCCTTATGTAAACTGGGGAGGAAACTTCTTTCCAAACCTCCTTATTTTCCCTACATCTCAGCTTAAAGAATGGAACAAAGCTTCTAAGCAATCACCCCTATTAAGGAAAAAAAAGGGAAAGTTTAACATTTTATCTCACCAACAGGACAAGAAAAAAATATGATTCCACAAAACTGAAAATTGCAAAAAAATGTTTAACGTTTGCCATCAAAGCTTAAGAAATCATTATGTTTCATAGGTGTAGTTTGTCAAAAAAAAATTGATTATGTAACGATAATCTTGATAAATGTCGAAATGTTGTAAATATCATATGTTTTTGCAACATTAAAGATAAAAAAAAAAAAAACATTTCTCTGCAGACATTAGAAAAGCTCCAATTATCCATTCTGCTTTTTAGGGTAAAATTTACTAAGTAGCTGTAATCTGCTATAACCAGTGTAAATAAGATGAGATATTTGATCGATCACAGTAACAAACATGGAAGGGTTAACAGGATGAAGGTCTGGTCGTAGTAATAATACTCATTATTTATATTCTTTCTAGTCTTTTTATTTACTATACGGCCAAAAGAAATGGTCCCACTCTAATATTTAGTTGGACCGCCTTTAGCTTTGATCACAGCATGCCTTCGCTGTGGCATTGAGTCAATAAGCTTCTGCAAGATGTATTTCCACCAAATGATTCAATTCAATTTATTTATATAGCGCCAAATTCACAACACATGTCATCTCAAGGCACTTTCCAGTTCAACCAGATCATACAGTCAAATTGATACAAAGTTTTCTATCTAAGGAAAACCAACTGATTGCATCGGCTCATTGACTCTTCAGCAATCCTTCACACTAAGCATGCTTGTAGCGACAGTAGAGAGGAAAAACTCCCTTTTAACAGGAAGAAACCTCCAGCAGAACCAGGTTCAGTGTGAGCGGCCATCTGCTGAGGCCCACTGGGGTTCAAGGAGACAGAAGCAGAGATACAAAATGATGCATTCGTTTTTCACAGATGATGCTACAGCCTGACCGCCGCCTTATCCAGCACTTCCCAAAGATTCCCAATTAGGTTAAAGTCACAGGGAAATCACATTTAAATGTCAAATCATTCTGGCTTAAACATGTATATACGTAAATGTCCTCTTTATAAAACGATATTGTTCCAAAATTTGGAACATTTCTATTTTTAAAGGAAATCCTGTCTTAAAATCTGTGTTTTTTTTCCGTTATCTTCTGCAGGCCAGTTAGTTCTACGTCAGCTTGAACACCTAAATTCAGCCAATCATATATCAACGATCATCTGTCAATCAAATGTTTTCGGTCATAGCATCTTGATTCATGTGTCGCAGCTAATATACGCAACGGTTGAAACCAGAATCCTTTCCTTTCCCATTGAGTTGCGTCCCAGTGTTCACGGGGATGGACGTCTGTGTCTTCGGCAGGCGTAGAGCTAACAGAACTGGCAGCGTTGCGAGGCAAGGGCTCAAACATGTACGGCTGGAAGCCTTCTACACCAAACCAAGCTTCTGCCGCCCTGGCGTCCTCTTCCACAACATCTTCGTCCCCGCTTTCCTCCTCTAAATAAAAAATGGATGACGGAGGAGACTCATCCACGACCTCCGACACTAAACTCTCCTCCTCTTGCATGTTTCCGCTGTCCATAGCGTTCCTTGACAGCGTCGTTTCTAAGTCACCAATTTAGTGCTACTTGGTCCCAATGGAATTTCCCATTGGGAACCTGCTAGCACTAAGATGCTAACTGGTTAGCAAGATGCTTCCAACAAACCGGCCACAACCAAACATGCTTGCGAACCTTCCGCCACAACAATCCCGCCCCCTTGATAATCGACCAATCACATTCACTTTATTCAATCGTGTAAAGTCTGGCACCACTTCGGAAAATTAGGAAATGAAAAGGTTGGAACAGCCGCTTCCCTACGACTTTTAACTGCTTGAAAAGCCTTTTTTTGTAGAAACCAATGATAAATGTCTTTCCTGCATGATGTCGTCGAGTGATAGGAGAACCATAAATAATCGGCCCCTCTGTTGCCCCCACAGGGTGTGCATCCTGGTCCTGTCTTCCTGCTATCTGGCCTTCAGGATCGTTTCCCTGGAACAGAGGCTGACAACGCTTGGCTCTGTCACCGACATCATGCATCATGAGTGAGTTTCAGATACAGTTTGAGCAAATTATTACAGATTTAAATCTAGATTAATCGACTTTAATGAGACTTGTGTTTAAAGTACGTAAGATGATTAGGAAAAATTTGTTTTTAAAGTTAACAGATTTTTTTTATTTCCAAAACAGTTAAAAAACAATCCTCTGGACTTTGTTTCCAAGTTTGAAGACGTTTCTCTTCCATCCAGGAAGATTTTTCAATTCAAAATGTCATCTGCATGTTTCCAAGCGATACAAGTCCTTGTCTATATAAAGACTCAAACTCACTGCCGATTCAGACATTTGAATTGAGAAAGCTTCCTGGAGAGGTGGAGAAACATCTTCAAATCTTGGAAACCAAGTCCAGAGGATATTTTTGAATTTTTACGGAAAAAATGTCAAAAATAGCGTTGAGTTTCAGGTTTTATCCAGCAGCCCAACAAAACCTTGTTTTTGCTTAGAAAACATGCAAATAGAAACGGATGAACGGGTCCCCCCCTTTGGAATGGGGGTCGTTCGGCTTCTTTGTTAGCCTGCAATGCCCCATACCTGTCTATGTCTCTGAAAGGGGGGTTGTTAGAGGGAATAGTTGGTCTGGCTGATTAGGAGAGGTCTTCTGTTCTCCTGTAAAGCGGTGGGGGTTGCAATGATAGCAGCACAGCGTCTGTGGATAATAAACAGTTTCAGAGGAGTGATCATAGCGCTCTGCATCAGCAGTGCTGTGTCTGGCTCCCTGCCAGCTCCCAGTTCAGCCTCTCTGATTGGTTGGTGAGGCGCCTCCAGCAGCAGAAGTTACATTTTTCCAACTTCCAGCAGCTGCTGCTTTCGCAGAGCATCCTGCGTGATGTAGCGCAGAGTCTTGTCCAGAGGAGGGCGCTCTTCTGTGTTGGGCCATGCGTCTGTGGAGAGGTTCTGGGATTTTGTGTTTGGAGTCCAGCAACATCTGGGATGGAGACGTTTTTGCTTTTAATCATCTACCGTTATGTTCTACTGCTATTTTTTATTTATTTGAGTTTAATATGGCGAAAAAGTCAGACATTTATTTATTTATTTATCTTAGTGGCCCTGATCCTCTTCCATACTAAAGTAAAGAGCATGAGCAGTAGTTTTTATTAATCTTAGTCGATGAAATCATTTTGGATCATTTGGTCTTTTTTGGTGGATATTTGCTGATTTTTCTGTGTCCGTGTGCGCTGGTTTCCTTCATAGAAGCGGCTTCCTTTCTGGGAGTGCTGATGGCAACATGGAGCTCTTCTCTGAGCTGCTGACCATTAACCTGCTGAAACTGGAGAAGGTGGGTCCTCCTGCCTGTTTGATCTCATTAATGCTCATCATTGTCACTAACCCCCCGATGGTAAACGAGCAAGGAATAATCAATGGATCATTATTTATACCTAAAACTAATACGTTCGTAGTGATTTAATGAATTTAGCCTTAATGAGTAGAAAAATAAAATAATTTTCACCACGATCACTGAGTCTGGGAGCGGCCATTTTTGCCCAAATATAGTAGCCCCTCCCTCCTGCCATCTTCCAGCAGTGACGTCACGGTGCGGTAAGCCTAGCGCCATTCTCCCCGCTTTCCAAGCTAAATCAATGGGAACTACTAGACACATCTGCAATCAACAGCAATTATTGAAGATTTCCAGAGGACTTCACCATTGAAATTCACCAGAGCTGTAGTGAAACTGACAATGCCCACGTGCATGGCAGCTGGATGCTGGAATACATCGGGTAAAAGTGGAAAAAAAGAGTTATTCCACCTTTCTGATTCCTGATCCTCCACGGACGGGTTGGTCGTTGGATCGCCAACTTGAAGAGGGAGGATTTGCCATCGAACTTCTGGCCAGAGAAAAAACCCGTAATATGTAGCCAACATTTGGAAGAAGAATGTTTTCAAGATGACTTGGATAATAGCGCGTTGTGACAAACACCAGATACAGCACTGGGACTTGATCAACAGCCGATACCGCACCGTGACGTCACTAACCAGTAGGTGGCAGTAGTGTTCTTTGACAAACATGGATGCCTCCAGTAAAGCACATTCACATGGAAATTACTCTGAATTAAAAACACTGATCATTTATTGAACAGGATGGAATCATTTCAGATTTAAAGGACTTTCAGAAGTTTGGATTCTGAATATGAGCGACTTTTCCTTTAAAACTAAGCTTAGCATCAGCAGGCTGATATTAATGAACACCTTTTTGAAATTACTGATGTGTTTTTGTTCTCTGCTTTTCTTTCAAACCGTCCACAAAGTTTCTTCTCAGTAAAAGTTTTATTTGACCACATGCCTGTTTGTACGAGAGAAAATTGAGTTCGTAATCTGATCTGGATTACAGGCTTGTTTCTCATCTGCTAAACTTTGAACAAGTTATTCTAAATATTACAGATGTGTTTTTAAGGAAATCCAACCAATTGTTCTTTCAGGTACAGAAGAGTCTGCAGAGGCTTCTGGAAGAGGCTGCATGATACGAGAATCAGGAAGAGAACATGAAGGAGCTGCTTCCAGTGCTGTAAATAAACTGTGAATATTTAATTTATTATCTGTAGGAGGTTCAGACTGTACAGAGTTAATAACCACAGTGATTTTAAAACAAATACAACTCTGACTGTTTTACCAATTAGCTTCATGTATAAACCAGTAACTCTTATTGATAGAAGGGAAAAAAAAACTTTAAACTGTAATTGCCTGAAAAAATCGCCTGGAATCCGCCCTTTGAGGTGGAGCTCTGTCATGATCGCAGCCCCGGTTGCTGATCTACTCACTCACTTCATTCACCTGCTGTTCCCTCCCCGCTCTCTAATTATCATTCATCTTATTCACCTGCTCCCTCTGCTTTATATGCGGTTCAGCTCAGCTATCAGGGTCAGATCATTATTCTTAGGTTTTTGTGTTAGTTATCCATGTTTTCTCTGTTTGGTTTAGTTTTTGTTTAGTCCTTGGTTTATGTACCCATCTCTGGAGGCCAGTGAAGTGAGAGGGTTTGTCTCTTGTCTTCTAGTGGTGTCCCGGGTCTTCTCAGTAGAGACATCAGGGTTTTGGCTTGGCGTGCGGGAGAGGCCAGTTTTAATTACTGTAATCCTGGCTCTTAGGAGGAGTACAGTTTAAAGTTCTGCAGATCTCCTGGTACCGAGTCTTGTCTCTGTTGCTCAACCACTGAGCCCGCCTGTCTCTATCTGAGCGTATCTGTCTGAGCTCGCTGCTGGACTCATTGGAACTCTGAACCTGCCTGAACGCTCTGTGGATTCGTGGAACCGTGGATCTGTCTCTTCCTGTTCGGCTTCGAACTCCAGGATCCCAGAACTGTCCTATCTGATCTGTTTTCCCTGACCTGTATCGGTCTCCTGTCCGCTCCCTGGGGTTACTACGTCGGGGACACTCTGGGCGGCTCTACACCGCAGCGCGTTTGGCGGTCCATCGGCTGGATCCTGCCTTCCTCAGAGAGGATGGACTGAACTGTTAAAGCAGAGTCTCAGTTTTTGTTCCTTTTCTGTTCTGTTTTATTTACTTTGTCATTCAACGTTTTGGAACTTTCCACTGTCTGACTCGCCTGAATACTGGGTCCATCTGTCCCAATTTGTGACAGAATGATGTATAAAATGTATTTAAAATGTTTGAAAGCTTTTTTGTTTGAACTGAATGTGACACACTGAGACTTTCTGGACAAAAAGAGACCAGGTGTGCAGACCATATTATAACTCAGAACATTAAACTGTTACAAAAACAATGTTTGGATGGATATATTTCATTATTTTAGAAAAAATATTTTGGGGAAATATTTGTTTTTGAGATTGTCAGATTTTAGAATAAAGGTTTATTTGTGCTGTACATGTGAGTATTTCATGTTTTCTCTTCTGTTTCCCATCCTTGATTTATTTATTTTTTATTTTTTTGCTGTTTGTGATCTTAGAGAAATAAAAAGAAATACCTTCTCTTTTAAGGTTCAGGATCAACACCATTCCTAAGCAGTATCCAAACATCCAGAACGTTCTCCTTAGAGTTTTCTTCCTTTATGAACATCTCCGATGGTCGAGTATCGGCACAGAAAGTCCAGCCCGACCCGACCAAGACCGTCAACCATCAGGCCCAGACACACCCGCCCTAGGTCTGATGGTGGAACAGACCTGCCCTCGGTTTGACGGTGGGACAGACCTGCTCTGGCTCTTATTTTGGGACAGACCTGCTTTGGCTCTGACGGTGGGACAGACCTACCCTCGGTCGTATGGTGAGACAGACCTACCCTCGGTCGTATGGTGGGACAGACCTACCCTCGGTCTGATAGTGGGACAGACCTGCTCTGGCTCTGACGGTGGGACAGACCTACCCTCGGTCTGATGGTGGGACAGACCTACCCTCGGTCGTATGGTGGGACAGACCTACCCTCGGTCTGATAGTGGGACAGACCTGCTCTGGCTCTGACGGTGGGACAGACCTACCCTCGGTCGTATGGTGGGACAGACCTGCCCTCGGTCTGATGGTGGGACAGACCTGCTCTGGCTCTTATTTTGGGACAGACCTGCTTTGGCTCTGACGGTGGGACAGACCTACCCTCGGTCGTATGGTGAGACAGACCTGCCCTCGGTCTGATGGTGGGACAGACCTGCTCTGGCTCTTATTTTGGGACAGACCTGCTTTGGCTCTGACGGTGGGACAGACCTACCCTCGGTCGTATGGTGAGACAGACCTACCCTCGGTCGTATGGTGGGACAGACCTACCCTCGGTCGTATGGTGGGACAGACCTGCCCTCGGTCTGATGGTGGGACAGACCTGCTCTGGCTCTTATTTTGGGACAGACCTGCTTTGGCTCTGACGGTGGGACAGACCTACCCTCGGTCGTATGGTGAGACAGACCTACCCTCGGTCGTATGGTGGGACAGACCTACCCTCGGTCTGATAGTGGGACAGACCTGCTTTGGCTCTGACGATGGGACAGACCTACCCTCGGTCTGATAGTGGGACAGACCTGCTCTGGCTCTGACGGTGGGACAGACCTACCCTCGGTCGTATGGTGGGACAGACCTACCCTCGGTCTGATGGTGGGACAGACCTACCCTCGGTCGTATGGTGGGACAGACCTACCCTCAGTCTGATGGTGGGACAGACCTACCCTCGGTCTGATAGTGGGACAGACCTGCTTTGGCTCTGACGGTGGGACAGACCGACCCTCCGTCGTATGGTGGGACAGACCTGCCCTCGGTCTGATGGTGGGACAGACCTGCTCTGGCTCTTATTTTGGGACAGACCTGCTTTGGCTCTGACGGTGGGACAGACCTACCCTCGGTCGTATGGTGAGACAGACCTACCCTCGGTCTGATGGTGGGACAGACCTGCTCTGGCTCTTATTTTGGGACAGACCTGCTTTGGCTCTGACGGTGGCACAGACCTACCCTCGGTCGTATGGTGGGACAGACCTGCTCTGGGTCTGACGATGGGACAGACCTGCTCTAGCTCTGATGGTGGGACAGACCTGCTCTGGCTCTGATGGTGGGACAGACCTGCTCTGGCTCTGATGGTGGGACAGACCTGCTCTGGCTCTGATGGTGGGACAGACCTGCTCTGGCTCTGATGGTGGGACAGACCTGCTCTGGCTCTGATGGTGGGACAGACCTGCTCTGGCTCTGATGGTGGGACAGACCTGCTCTGGCTCTGATGGTGGGACAGACCTGCTCTGGCTCTGATGGTGGGACAGACCTGCTCTGGCTCTGATGGTGGGACAGACCTGCTCTGGGTCTGACGATGGGACAGACCTACCCTCGGTCGTATGGTGGGACAGACCTGCTCTGGGTCTGACGATGGGACAGACCTGCTCTAGCTCTGATGGTGGGACAGACCTGCCCTCGGTCTGATGGTGGGACAGACCTGCCCTCGGTCGTATGGTGGGACAGACCTGCTCTGCCTCTTATTTTGGGACAGACCTGCTTTGGCTCTGATGGTGGGACAGACCTGCTCTGGCTCTGATGGTGGGACAGACCTGCTCTGGGTCTTATTTTGGGACAGACCTGCTCTGGCTCTGATGGTGGGACAGACCTGCCCTCGGTCGTATGGTGGGACAGACCTGCCCTCGGTCGTATGGTGGGACAGACCTGCCCTCGGTCGTATGGTGGGACAGACCTGCTGTGGGTCTGAAAAAATAAATAAAGGTTCCTCTTTTCTATTACCCTCTAAAATGTTGAGGACTCATAAATGAACAGGTTGACCTCCAAATCCTGCAGCTCCTGGCTTTACAGCATCTCTCTTCCTCCCTCAGCTGAACGCAGCTTCAGAGTTCAGAGGTCACCCTAGTGTCTATGTCATAGTCACAGATGACAAAACATGAGTTTACAGCCTGACCTGTGAAGGTCACAGAGGGAACCATTAAGGTGGCCGTTTGCTGTTATCCTGGCTGATTGCAGTTTGGATGGATAACCAGTGACGTCAGCAGTTATTCATCAGCATCATCACGGCTACAGAGGTTAACCTGTTCTTTAGCTGTAAGCCTTTAAAGCAGGAAGACGGAACTGGTTAAACATTAACTAACTGAACAGATCCATCCCGAACTTGTTAAGGAATCCCCAAACAGTCTAGTAGAAAACATCTAACAGCTCATATATGTAATGTTTTTTGTTTTTTTTATAATGTTTCCACCACATTAATTTAAACTGAGGCTGAATATGTAGAGTATACTGCCTTAATGATGAAGCAGAGGTAATAGATAAGAGAGGTGGGTGGGTCAGTATGGAAGAAAAACTGTTTCATTGGAATCTACCTTGAATCTACCAACACTGAATTCTTTTAACACCATATTTTAACCCACTACATTTTTTTCACACATTGAATTCCTTACACTGATTTTTTTATCTGTTAAAAATCTCCTGCAAAAAATTCAGTTGCAAATGTGTTAATCATTTAGTGAAATCAAGCCAAAGCAATCTGCACTCATGCAGTTGAGCAGCTTCTAGCCAATGAAATGAGCTCATTTAGTCACATGACACAACAGTTGGGCGTAGCTTTGTTCCAGGCTGAATGAAGCTGAATGAGGAGTTTTTCTTGTTAAATAGATATGATTACAAAGTGTCAGGTAGCTACTAATAGACAGCCTCATCTAATCAGACAAGGTGAAATAACTGAGCCGATCACAGCTAGTGCGGCACCCCTGTCTGCCAAGGCTCTTGGTTTGATCCGGAAGCAGCCGGCTGGGCGTGCAGGTCGCAGCTTTTTGGCTGCTGAGTTTTTTACAGGCAAATTTTTTGCAGCTGAATCTTTTACAAGTTAATTTTATACAGGTGAAGTTTTTGTAGCTAAATGTTTTTGCAGCTGAATTTTCACAAGATAAAAATTCAGTGTAAAAAAAAAAAAAAATAGGGTTCTGCTGTTATCTGAGAACATCTAATTTTTACAATAATTTCTTTCCATTATAAACTATGCCTTTAATACCCTTTAAACCAACATCTTTCACTGTAAAGTAATAAATATCAAATAAATGAGAACTACAAACCGGCCCCAGAGGCTTTATAATCTGGTGGAATTCCAGTGGGCCGAGGATGCAGCCCTGGGGAGCACCATAAGTAATATGAAAAGAAAAGAGCAGTTCTGTCAGGTTACAATGTGGGAGAAAATCATGATTCAAACCTTGACATTCAGGATTCTTTTTCAATAGGAAAAACTTTAACAATATTTCAAAAAGTATTTCTAAATCCGATTTTTATTTGTGGTTATTAAAAATGGAATATGAACTAAAGCTCTTTTGTCATAACATTCCTATATTACTTCATTTTGTTTATTTATGAATACATTTTCCTGCATGAATTAATGTAAACTGTATGTTTGCTCGTCTGTGCATTAGCTTAGCACCAAAACCAATTCCTCAGACATGTACAACTCTACTTGGCAATAAAGCCTTTTCTGATGACGGTTATTTTCTCTGGACATTCTTCTCCACGGTTGGATGACAGGAGCGCTGGTATAAACCAATATAAAGTGATAAAGTGCTAAAATTGGTCAATATTGCTCATATTTTGTGCTTTCCTCATTTCTGCTGCTCCATTGACACATTTTGGATTAAAGAGAATCCTAAATCTGAATGCTTTACTTCTAAGTCTTGATGTGTAGATATTTGCTGGGGTCCGTTCCCCAAAGCAGGTTTAACAAAAAACAAAATTTGAATCCCCAACTCAGAATTGATCTAGCCTAAGGTCGGAAACCCTGTTTTTAGTTTCATAAAAGCTGCTGTAAGTTAAATTAATCAACTGCAAGTAGCTCCACTCACAGAGTTTAACTCGTTTACTGGAAAAAAATCAAAATCTACATAAGTCATTTTTTTCTTAAAATAAGTGAATTTTTTCTTGAATTTAGGGAATAAGACAGGTGTCTTCAACGTTTTCCAGGCTAAGGACCCCCAAACTGATGGCGAGATGGAGCGGGGACCCCCTAATTATATATATTGTTTGAAATTGTGTTCTATCAAACTGGTCCTATAGTCACTATTACAGATGGAGTAATGTAACCAAAGTAATTTCGCCCTGGGATTATTAAAGTATTTCTGATTCATATTCCTCGTTGATGGGACAGGTGTGAATGAAATTTCAATCTGAAAAACTCACAGAGAGAGAAAGATGCAATTAGAAGAGTTTATTGATACGATAGTTTGAACTTTGGCGCTCAGGCCTCGGCAGGAAACATAAACGCGGATTTATACTTTAATGCAGATAAACTGATGAATGAGAATAAGGATATTCCCCCCCGGGCCTGAAACTGGTGGTGGAGTTTAGATAGATGAAGTTTGGTTAATCCATAGAGGCTGGTATACAGGGTGATGCTTGAGTTAGATGTCACTGAATGAACAAAGTTTGCATAAACTGTCCATGA